CAGCACCACTTCTGATTTTCTGGTGGTTCATTGGAGTTAAGAGTTTTACAGCCTTTCCTGACCAGGCTGGCTTTGAACCATGATCCTCAGATCTTGACCTCCAAAGTAGCTAGGATTACAGTTGTGAGCCCCTGGTGCCCTGCTCAGACATACTTCTGAAGAAAGTATTTTGTTGACAGATTTGATACCATAAAGTAACAAGTTCCTAGATAAAACACCTGTCTCAAGTTCCTAGATAAAACATCTGTCTCAAAAAGAATTAGAAAACTGAGTAAGTTATAAAAAAAAGGATTGCACTAATATTTGAAAAAGTAATGTTGAGATAACTTTTCAGGTAAAACTCTACCAGATGCTTAGAGAAGAATGAGCATTAATCTTTCATGAATTCTTCCAGAAAATAAGAGAAAGGATTGCTTTCCAGCTCCTTCTCTGGGGCCAATTTTACCCTCATTGCAGAAGCAGACAAAGACATCTCAAGGAGAGGAGACTATAATCAGCATTTTTATTGAATTTAGATACAAACTTCTTCAATAGAACATTTTCAAACCAAATTCAGCCATGTATCAAAATGATCTCATTATGACTAAGAGGGATTTATTTCAGGAATGGAAATTTGATTTAGCATCTGAAAAATCAATTAATACAATGCACTATATCAATAGAATACAAGACAAAAATCTATGTGATTATCTCTTCATTGAGATAAAAGAAAATGAGAAAGAGGACAATATCAAAACTTTCATGAGAGAATATGGGGGGTCACATAGTAAAAATCTTTTAGGAACAAAGAGGAAGTTTCTCAGCCACGTAAAACGCATCTGTAAAAACCCACAGCTAACATCTTACCTAACCATACAAAACTGAATGTTTCCCCCTAAGTAGTAACATAACATAGTCAGGAGTACCGTAAAAATGCGAGTTCTTATCTTCCTAGTCAGCACTGTAGTAGATGCATACCCAAGGCAATTGGAAGGAAATTTTTAGCAATATTAGAAATATTTAGAAATATTAGAAATAGTCAGATGCCTGTTGCTCATGCCTGTAATCCTAGATACACAGAAGGCTGGGATTTGAAAATTGAGTTACAAATCCCCTGGGAAAAAAGTCTGTGAAGTTCTTCTTTTTTGTGGGGGGGTCCGGTCATGGGGCCTGAACTCTGGGCCTGGGTGCAGTCCCTCAGCTCTTCAGCTCAAGGCTAGTGCTCTACCACTTGAGCCACAGTGCCACTTCTGGCTTTTTTTCTTTTTGCTTATGTGGTGCTGAGGAATTGAACCAAGGGCCTCATCCATGCAAGGCAAGCACTGTACCACTGAGCCACCTTCCCAGCCCCTGAAGTTCTTATTTTGAAATAACCACTCCTGAGCCAGGAGTAAAGCTGTGATTTAAGTGATAGAATATCAGCCTTTAATGGAGAAAGCCAAGGGGGCAGTGAACAGGCCCCAAGTTCAAGCCCCAGTACTGGCACCCTGCCCCCCAACACACCCCAATACACATTAAGAATAATAAATATTTTAACATGGTTGCAGAATATAAGATACAAAAGTAAATGTATTTATCTGAAAGTAAAACTAAGAAAGCAATTATATTTTTGACAAAATTAAAATACTTAGTAGTCAATTTTATAATAATAATTCATAATCTAAAAACTACAAACCATTGTTGAAAAAAATTGAAGACCTAAATAGATGAAAAGACATCATATGTTTATAGATTAGAAGACAATGCAGGTAATATCCACATTTCCAAAACTGACCCATAGATTCAACATAAATACAGCCATAATCCTCGTGGGCTTCCTTAAACACATGGCATCCTAAAACTCATCCTGAAATTCATCTGTAAAGGCAAAAATCCAACATAATCCAAATAATTCTTTAAAAGGATAAAAACTGGAGAACTTCTATTTCCCAATGCCAAAAGTTACCAGAAAACTATATCAGGGAAGCACATAACTGGTATAATGCGCAACATGAAGATGAATGGTATAAGACTTGTGACCTCAGAAATATACCCATCTATTTGTAGTTAATTAGCTTTTTTTTTTACTAGTCACCTAACTAGTTCAATGGGGTAAGAAGTCTCTTAAGCAGATGGCTAGTCACATTAAAAGAATAAAGTCACAATCCTTTACATTACACAAAAAATTTACTCAAAATCTATTATAGATCTAAAATGAAGGAGCCAAAAATATGAGATTTTTCTGAATAAATCTTTATGAACTTACGTTGCTTAAAATCTTCTTAGATAAGGTGTTACCACTGATAAAGGAAAAATTACATCTTTAAAATTCATCAAAATTAAGTGTGCTTTCAAAGTATGGGGGAAAAGGCAAATGAAAACCACTTACAATGGAAAATATTTTCCAATTAGGTATCTGACAAAGGACATGTATTGAGAATTATGAAGACCTTATACCATTCACAAATAGGAAGAAAAAAACCAAACCCAAATGTTCTCTAAACAGACATTTCTTCAATGAAGATCTGTAAATGACCAATGCCATCCTCATAGAAGAGTGCCTACATGGTTAGCCATTAGGAAATTCAAACCCCAACACCAAGTATCATTCTATGTCCATTAAGATGACTATTACTGAAAAACAAAACACAAAAAGGAAATGAAAAAGTGTTGCTGAGAGTGTGAAGAAATTAAAAGCTATGTACCTTGATGTGGAAATGTCAAACCTTGTAGTTGTTGTGGAAAACAGAGATGGTTCCTCAGAAAAGCAGAACATAAAGTATTTGTCTTCAGGCTGTATACATCCTGAAAAGCAGGAACTTGAGCACAAAGTTCATACCACAAGTGTAATACTCCCAAAGTAGAAACAGCCAAACATCCATTAACAAATAAATAGGTAAACAATATGAAGCATATCCACACAATGGAATATTATTCAGACAAAAAAGCAATGAGGTAATGATATATGCTGTAGCATATTCAATAAAAGGAGTCAGATACAAAAGGTCAATGTGTGATTCTCTATTTTAAATTAAATGAATACAGGTGGCAAATGCATCAGAAAGTAAACTAGTCATTTCCAAGAGTGTAGGATACAGAGGGATTTTTCCCATTTGGTATTATTATTATTAACTTATTATAAAGGTGATATACAGAGGAGTTACAGTTGCATAAGTCAAGTAATGAGTACATTTTCTTTTGAACAATGTCGCCTCCCTTTCCCTCACCCTCTCCCAATTGCTCCCTCCTGTACTCACATCCAAGTTACATCGTTCATTTTCAACATTTACATTTTAATCTGAGTTTTAACAAAGCTCAACATTGGTTGCTGTAATAACAGAATAACATTTTTTGGATGTTAGGACCTACTGAATCTTACACTTTGAATTGAGATGGTGTGTATTTTATAGTATTTGAAGTTTATCTCAACAAATTGTTTTGGAAAAGATAGGGCCTAGAACCCTGAGAAGGAAGGGCACCGCAGGTAGCACTTCCGGGTTGTGAGAAGTGATTGGGCAAGGGAAATACATGAATTCTGAGGTGTGTAAGGAATGGAATGTTTCTGGATTGTTGGTGCACTGTACCTGCAGGAGTATGCAGAAACAACACACACTGATTACAGAACCTGAGATAGGGTACATGTGTGCAAGCAGGTGGACAACATGCACACATATGGGAAGCTGAAAAATTCCAACCAATAGAGAGGCCAGAGTAACAGAAGGGGCATAAAAAGTAGGTGTGCAGAAAAGGAGTGCTTTGCAGATCTCATGGCCTTGAGGCTATGGCAGAGAGGAGGGATTTACAGAGAGGAGGCTGTTACAAGGAAGTCACAGAGAATGACAAAGGTTAATGGCAATCACCATCCTTCACTGGAATCAGTGTGACTTTCTGTCCACTAATGACAATCTGTGATGCTGTTACTTCCGTAGTTATGCATCATTCTGGGACAAAGGAGAACAGGGATCAAAGGAATGAGAATAGCCCTGATTTAGGAAATACAAATTGAATTGAACATTTGAATTGAATACTTAAATTAGAAACGCTGGAGTTTTACTCAAAAGATATGAATGTACCTGGAAGAAACTAATTTTTAAGATAGAAAGGATCAAATATATAAGTAAATACTTCAGGTGGGTAAGCAAACGTACACAAATATACTCATTGAAATATGGTAGATTCAAAGGAGAATTGAAACAGTGAAATTCTTTAGAAAGCCTAACACAAGGAAATGGGTACTTGATAGGGGTGAAATGGGGTCAAGGAGAGGGAGGTAGCCAAATGAAGACAAGAAAGTGATAGAATTCAGTCAAAAATTCAATGCACTTCCTACAAAATTAAGGAGATGAGGGAAAGGGAAGGATGGGTAAAAATGTTGAAAGGGATAACATCGATCAAGAAAGACACACTGTATTCATAATCTGTTTTGTTGAATGGCAACTCTTTGTAAAGCTAGTTAGAGTTAATCAAATCACAGATAATAAAAATGACTATGTTATCATACATATTTTATATTATTTTTTCATTTCTTGCATTTTAGTGGAAAGGTTTGTTGTGAAGCCATTTGGTTCAATGGCTAGAGAAAATAGCAAAAGTTACAATCCCTCCTCAACGAGTGGAAATGAATGACTAGAAGATGTCATCTTCCTGTTGACCCAAGCAGTCACATGCTGGCTGAAAGTTCAGGTTGAAGTGGGCAGAAGTAACACACAGTTGTGCAAAAGCATGAGGCTGAAAATCAACATGTCTGAAACAGCTTGGCCAAGCTGCAATCAATGTGACCTTGCTGCTGTCAATGTGACCTTGGACAGATTTGTGGAGCCCCTCTTGGAATGTATTCTTTCGGCCTTTAAAGGAGTTGAAGCAGATACCTTATAAAGAAAGGTTCTTTCCTCTAAAAGAGCAACTCTTAGCAATTGGATCCTCAGTGGAGAAATACATGCCACATGCTAGCCAAGTAAAATGCATCTCGTCTTTCAAATGATGGAAACTTTTGCTCTCTTTGGCCAGGCCTTTAGAAGCTGAGCTAGATACCACCAGATTACCTTGCTGTCGGGTCTTGCTTTTGCAGCCACATTTGGTAATCATCTCAGGGGTGCACACATCACGGTGGCAGGTAGAACAGTAAAAGAGGGCTCTGGACAGTGAAAGCAAATAAGCAGTGACTCACCAAGGAGATAAGGTGCTGACTCTGCTTACCTCCCATTAACCAACATTTGCTTTTGTACTTTCTGCCCCCGTAAAGCAGTAAACAAAAAATTACCTTTTGACTTCTTTCAGAGATTCAGCAATAAAGAACCCTAATGTGTTCTTCAGCAGCTTGACTTGTGCAGGTGGATTTAGTATCAGACCACTGGAAATGGAAAAGGAAAAGACAGTGATTTCTCCCTCTGCTTTCTGTGGCCCTATTTGGCTTTTCATCCTGTCATTACCAATGGATTCTCTTAGGTCACCAAGTGAATAAGAGCCAATTTCCTTTTACTGCTAATCATAGTGGGACTTGACTCTACTTAACCCATTCTTTGATCACTGCTGGTTGTGCTAAGAAAAGCCAGCTGCCTGATGCATGGATTCACAGTGGTGGAAGCAATATGGCTCCAGATTAAGTCAGGAAGCAGGATGGACCAACCAGTGCTGACACATGATGCCTGGTCAGCTTAATCTAGCAATGGTCAACACAACATGAGGACAAAGCAACAATTTTACCATGCTGCCAGTATTTCTACTTAGGTCACTCATCTTTAAAACAAATACATCTAATTCACCAGATGGATTCAACTTTCCTTTGTCAGTACTATGATTTTGAACTCAGGGCTTTCTGCTTGCTGGGGAGGTGTTTTACCACTTGAGACATGGTCCCAGTCATTCATTGCTTTATTTATTTTTATTTCTAGTGCTGGCCTTGGGTACTGAGTTGATCTTCCTACCTATGCCTTTTTGTATTTGGAATGGTGGGATGTATGTGGCTGCATATGCCTGGTGTGTTGGTTAATATGGGGTATCACTAACTTTTTGTTTAGGTTGGCTTCGAATTGTGATCTGCTGGATATTCGCTTCCCAAGTACCCAGGATTACAAGCCTAAACCATTAAGTCTGTCCACATTCCTTTAATTTATATTTGGAACTTTTAATAGCTGTGCATTCTTTGTACTTGGCTATGTGGGGTGTGTATGTGTATGTGTGTGTGTTTGCACGTGCGTGTGCATACTGGCCCTGGGGCTTGAAGCCAGGGCTTGGGAACTGTCCCTGAGCTTTCTTGCTCAAGGCTTGAATGCTAACACTTGAGACACAACTCCACTTCCAGCTTTTTGCTGGTTAATTGGAGACATGATTCTCAAGGACTTTCCTGCTGGCTTTGAATGCAATCCTTAGAACTCAGCTTCTTCCTCCTCCGTCTCCCTTCCCCTCCCCCTTCTCCTCCTCCTCCTCCTCCTCCACCACCCCCCCCACCACCATCTTCTTTGGTTATGGGGCTTGAACTCTGGGCCTGGGCATTGCCCCTCAGCTCTTCAGCTCAAGGCTAGCACTCTACCACTTGAGCCACAGTTCCACTTCCAGTTTTCTGGTGGCTTATTGGAAATAAGAGTCTCATGGACTTTCCTGCCCAGGCTGCTTTGAAACCATGATCCTCAGAAACCAGATACTCAGCCTCTTGAGTAGGTGTGAGCCACTGGCACCTGGATTGAACTCAGACTTCTGAGTAGTTATAATTATGGCCATGAGCCACCCGCACCCAGCTCAAAATTATTGAATTTTTAAAAATTTGAATCTTTTCGTCTAATTCCAGGATTCCTGGAAATGGCAATTTGGGATCTGGTTGAGGTTTTAGGGTAAATAAACATTGTCTTCCTCATTCTACACACGAAGTACACAGGGCTACAAACCATAGTTAAGATCAAATTTTAGTCTGCTAGCTAAGTGCTAATTAGGTCCCATCTGTAATTCTAGCTATGCAGGAGGCCAAGATTTGAAGGACTGTGGTCAAAGCCAGCCTGGCAAAAAAAACACAAAACCATAAAAATGAGAATTAAAAACTTGGACTAAAGACATGATACGAGATAGAATACCAATATACAAAACACATTTAGTAGTTGCTATCTTTCCTTAATTTCCAGTATCTTTTACTTCCACATCAATACAGCTGATTAGCACCCCCTCTTTTCTCCATCTATATCCACATACATTGTTTTGTCCTGAATCATTTTCTTTCTTTCTTTTTTTGTTGTATTGTGAGATGACTACTCCACTTAAGGTTTCACAGAAATGCTAAGGGTCTGGTGATTTTCCCTCTTGTTTAATAGCCCAGTTAAATTCATATTTTGCAAGATTTTGTGTTTTACCATCTCAGGTTAGCTAATAGTTTTAGAAACATTTTGTGTGTGTAATCATCCTGGGGCTTAAATTCAGGGCCTGGGCTTTGTCCCTTAGCATTTCGTTCAAGGCTAGCTCTCTAAAACTTGAGTTGATACATTTGCACTTCTGGTTTTCTGGTGGTTAGTTGGAGATAAAAGTCTCATGGACTTCCCTGACTGGCCTCGCTACAAACTTCAGTACTCAGATCTCAGCCTTTTGAGCAGCTAGGATTACAGGTGTGTGCCACTGGTGTACAGCTACGAAAACATTTTTTTAATCACAAATAGTTGTGTTGCATTTTATTTTATTGTATT